AAAATTACAATTTTGCAATAATCATGGCAGGCGGAAATACGATTCTCTTTAAATTACCGAACAACTGTCTTTACAACAAAGTTGCCCGAGAACGATAGAACATTCGTTGTCAAGAAGCTGGTAGACTCCAGCCATGACTGAGGGGAGACCGAATCGTCAGTCAAACAAGCGAGGCTTCTTTCAAAACTACATCATGTGAACGTAGTTCAATTCAAGGGAATTTGTGTCGACCAGTATGCTTTAATCCTTGAACATGTTCAATTTGACTTTGCTCCAATTGGATTTGCTACATAACATGCACTGAACCGAAGATAAGAACCTGCAAAATACAAGGTCGGTTTCAACCTGGTTTATATTTCGGCACCAAACGAAAGAGAGTTAATTTTCTCTGTTATCCGGCCGTGTTGCCAAAGTGGCATAAAGTACGACCGGATAACAGAAAATTAAGCATGAAAGTGGCAATTGTAATTCGCGTTTGCGTAAAAGTAGGCCGTACGGCAATTGTCATATCTTAACGGGAATTTGAGGTATATTTAAACCGATAACTGCATTGAAAAGCCCTAGCAAAATAGCACCTTACATTGGGATAAAATTACATTACTACATGCCCAGATAACAGAGAAAATTAAGCATGAAAGTTGCAGTTGTAATTTGCGTTCGCGTAAAAGTAGGCCGTAAGGCAATTGTCATATCTTCGAATTGTAGGTATATTTAAACCGATAATTGCATTGACATCAAAGCCTTTGAAAAGCAGCACATTACGTTGGCATAAAATTGGAGTACTACATACCAGGTAACTGACTAGGTAACTGACACTGAATTAAAACTTTATTAACACTAAATTATAATTTTAGAACTCTTATCTCGCAGTAAGTATTTAAGCGAAGAGACATATTATTGGTTCTTATTTGTTCAAATTCTAGGACAATATTCAATATTCTTTATACATATCGATATGCCCTCTTTGGATAAAACGCGGATATGGCTTAAAAAAGGCTGAAAAACGTTTTTTGAACCATATCCGCGTTTTATCCTTTTGGATACCCTTTTGGATAAAACGCGGATATGGCTTAAAAATGCTGGGAAAACGTTTTTTGGACCATATCCGCGTTTTATCCTTTTGGATAAAACACGGATATGACTTAAAAAAGGGTGAAAAACGTTTTTTGAACCATATCCGCGTTTTATCCTTTTGGATACCCTTTTGGATAAAACCCGGATATGGCTTAAAAAAGGCTGAAAAACGTTTTTTGGACCATATCCGCGTTTTATCCTTTTGGATAAAACGCGGATATGACTTAAAAAAGGCTGAAAAAGTTTTTTGGACCATATCCGCGTTTTATCCTTTTGGATACCCTTTTGGATAAAACGCGGATATGGCTTAAAAAAAGGCTGAAAAACGTTTTTTGGAAGCCATCCGTCCGTCCGTCCGCCACTCATCCGTCCGTCCGTCCGTCCGTCCGTCCGTCCGCCATCCATCCGTCCGTCCGTATCCGCGTTTTATCCTAACCCGGCTTTTCCGTTTATCCACAAGAATTCCTAATTATCCTTTTACGACCTATCAAAGCATCCGGAATTTCAAATATTCGCGTGGGTGTTGTTTATAAAGCAAAGCATGAAGTATGCACTCAAGTTGAGCCAGGCTCAGGGTGAAGCTAAGCAATGACTACGGGAACGAAAAGAGAAGCTTTCGACGAGTATTTTGGTACTAAACATGTAGCAAGGCAATCAATATTTCGAGTTTGGCAAGCGAATGGAATATCACTTTTCGACCGCGAAGTAATACTATAATATGCATTTAACGCACTGGCTTGCGAATTTCAAAACAAAAAAGCAGAGCTTTTATCGGGTGTAACAAAATAATAAACGGCGGAAGGCAAGGCTATACTATTCGTCAAAATAAAACGATTTCAACAAATTTCGATAATTGAATATATTACGAGATATAGCCTTTTGAGCGAGAAACCTTTATAGATTCCTATGTAAAGTGAGGTAAAATGTTGTAATATTCAATCGCAAAAAGCAGAGCGAGTATGCAAAAAAATGAGAACATTTTTTCTTAATGTGTTACTATACGACCGTAGCTTCTGCAACCAATTTCAACAAATATTCAAAGATTTATATATAGCATGCTATATTGAAAATACTCTGCTCGCCAGATAATAAACATAGGGCATTGCGCAGCCATTGTTGCGTGGGTGCTCGTGGTAACGTGAAACCTGAGAAATGAAAATGTCCGTGATTTCTGGCCATGTAAATTTGAGGGAGGAATGTTAATATGCAAGTCTATATATTATTAGTGTATCTTAATTAGATTGAGCCTAAAGTATTTAAAGACATGGATTGAACTTATCTCGTTTCTGACGAAGGGGCTGTGCCCCGAAACGTATTATGTATTTGTTTGAAGTTTAATAAATTTTGTTTCCAACTTGAAGTTTTATATATATATTTATATATATATATATATATATATATATATATATATATATATATATATATATATATATATATATATATATATATATATATATATATATTAAAAAACTCATTAATAATTCAGGAGCAAAACACAAAGAAAAATCATAAGCGTGTCGTGGTTATATATGTGATATAAAATCATGTTAATTTACATAAACTTTAGCTTTGATTTTCTCGGTTTAGACAAAGTTTATTTTAAAAATTACTTCGCCAATGAACTCTTATAAGCTGAGTCGTTTTTTAAGCCATTTAAAGCACTTGTAGTCGTGTTTTATCACATATAAAACACTCCGCTACGCGTCGTGTTTTATATGTGATAAAACACTCCTACGCGTGCTTTAAATATATATATATATATATATATATATATATATATATATATATATATATATATATATATATATATATATATATATATATATATATATATATATATATATATATATATATATTCACATATAATAATGAATATTACCAACAGATCTCAGGTTGTGCTATGGGGTCTCCCATTAGCGCTACCATTGCTGACATAGTTATGGAACATGTGGAAGAAACTGCAATTTCTACAGCACCACATCCCCCGCGATGGTGGTTCAGATATGTTGACGATAGCCATTCCTGTCTGAAGAAAACCCAGGTGAACGAATTTAACAACCACCTCAATTCCATTAACTCATATTTACAATTCACCATCGAACTGGAAGAAAACCGACGCCTCCCATTCCTGGATACCGTGACTATCCGCTCTAACGGCAAAGTAGAGGTCGATATATACAGAAAGCCTACTCACACAGACAAATACCTACACTACGACTCACACCATCCCAAACAACACAAGCTGTCGGTCCTAAATACTCTCCTCGACAGAGCTGAGAAAATTCCCTCGTCCAACAGAGGAAAACGCAGAGAAAGAAGACATGTATTTAAAGTCTTGAGAGACAACGGTTACCCACTTAAGTTTATAAAGTCTTACGACATCAAGAGGAAACGCAGTCATACTGATAACACCAACGGCAATTTTCATACCACTCATGTCAACAACAACAGGACAAATCCCGCTGATTGTGTCGCTCCTAGCTTTGTAGTCTTACCGTATGTTAAAGGCGTTACAGAAAAGATCTCCCGAGTATTAAGGAGAGAAAATGTCAAAGTGTGCTACAAACCTACCAGTACCCTTTCCCACCAATTCCCCAAACCCAAAGACAAGTTACCACCCGAGCAGACAAGCGGAGTCATTTATAAAATCTGTTGCTGCGATTGTGACTTTGCATATTACGGCCAAACAGATAGAGCATTAAAAACTAGAATAAAAGAACACGAACGAGCTGTTTCGCAATTTGATTCATATTCAAAAATCGCTAAGCATGCTGAACAATACGATCACCGAATTGACTTCAGTAATGCCACCATTGTCAACAAAACAAAAAACTACCGCGAACGTCTGTTCTTAGAGGCTTGGTATTCCCTCAAGGATCATAACGCAGGAAACGACCATATCGAAATACCGGATGTGTATAAAACACTTATTTGCTAATTAACTCTGAACCTATATATATTGTTCAGTTTTGAACCTAGTTAACTTTTTAACTGACGAAGACCTAAGTTACTGGTCGAAACGTCTTAACATCTTTTTAAATAAACGTAGTTTTTAACGTTTTTATCTAACCAGCGTCAACCTTTCTACATCTTAATAATATGTCTAATCCTGGTTACAATTTTAACATTTTTAATATATATATATATGTATATATATATATATATATATATATATATATATATATATATATATATATATATATATATATATATATATATATATATATATATATATAATATATAGAAGTATAAAAAAATAAGTATGTGTCATTTAAAAGAACTACAATAGAAAACAGAACTTGTAAAGTTTTTTCATTCGTTTTGCAAATGTAAATGTCTAAATTTAGTATTTAACGTATTTAGCATATTGACTATTGATAATGGACAGATGGAATATTGGTCTGAAATATTGCTCCACCAAATCACAGTGTCTAATTGCCCCTATAATTAAGGCAATTATAAAAAGTATATGAGAACATTTTCAACATGTAATACTATGACAAGTACTTATACTCCAACTAACTTTACGTACTTTTAACTATATTGGGTAAAATAAAAAGGGACAAAATTTACTGGCTTCTACCAAACTTGTTTTATCACGAGAATAACAACAGAAGTGTTTTTCCAATTCTGTATGATCTTCCGTAAGTACGAGCGAGATCAGTCTCATGTCTTATTAACAGATCGTAGTGAGCCAAGGCAACTTTGAGCTTTTTATTTAACCCCTTTACAACGCCAGTGATGCTGGAACTGTGGCCTGTATGTAGGGAGAGGGGGCGGGAAAGGAATGTACCCTGTCTTTCTGATTTTGGATTCATGGTTATTATCTTTTGAAAAACCATTATTATTCTTGTTTAGAAATACTAGTATTAACAGCTGTTTTTCAATAAGTTATGGCAACAAAGGTTTAATAATTAATATTATTTCGGCAGTCCCTCAAGAGAAAGGAGGAACTGCCGAAAACATATCAAGAACGAAATACGCGTTGCCCATACAACGCAAAATTCCCATTGGTCGAAATCGATATGCCTGTCAATCAAATCTGATATGTAGTAATTATGCTATAAATAATTTCCAGACTTGAATGTTGATTTTATAAATAAACATGACAGGCTTAAATGAGCCATTGATGTATTGTCGGCAGTCCCTCCTTCATGACGAGCCGCACGTTTTGAAAACCAGCGGGATTTGCAAACTGAGTTTGCATTTTTCAGGAAGCGGGTGCAGCTTACCCACCAACAATTAACGCTATGCGATGTCATCAATCCAGGAGAAACTGCTCAAACACAGTGTGAGATCAAACATGTAATAAGTTTAATTTCAGTCCGAATATTAACCTACATATGTCATATGATATTTTAGATACAATTTAGTACAAATAAATGGCTTGATTGTTGACAGAGCTAACACTACAGGATACCGCTATAGATACCGCTCCAGGTGTAGCTAATTCACAATGCTATTTTGGCTTAGATGCGCCAGAAGATGCTTCTGGTTTAGATGCGCAATGAGTTCTTTAGGTATATGGTATTAATATCTCCTTATTAGTTTGTTTTCCCTTACGGATTGCAATAGGCCTACATTGGAAAAAGGTCGCGCAAGCAGCGGAAAATAGATTATATAATTATACAAGATAATTTATTTTGAAAGGCTATATATTTGCGTTACGTATTTTGCTCCATAATTTTCAAGGGGTAATTGTAATACAGACTCTCAATAGCCTCCACTGGTTAAGAAAAATGAAGCATCTTCACACTAGAAGGACTCTTAAAAGGAGCAAAGGCTCAGTATTTTGTGTTGCGCGCGCCGTGATTTATAGTGCAACATACTAATATTTAGTGTATACAAGGAATAACACAGACTCCTATTTAGCTTCGACTGGTTAAGAAAAGATGGAGCATCTTCATAACCTGCCAGCAAAAGATGGCACATCTTTCTGGCACAGGAGTTCCCACTAAAAGGACTCTTAATTATTCCGGCAAAGGCAAAGCCAACTAGGCTATATTTTGCGTTGCGCCGTGTTTTATAGTATACTATGTACTGTACTGTATACAAGGAATAACACAGACTCCTATTTAGCTTCCACTGGTTAAGAAAAGATGGAGCATCTTCATAACCTGCCAGCAAAAGATGGCACATCTTTCTGGCACAGGAGTTTCCACTAAACTGAGGACTCTTAATTATTCCGGCAGAGGCAAAGGCTATATATTTTGCGTTGCGCCATGTTTTATAGTATATAATATGTACCGTATACAAGGAATAACACAGACTCCTATTCAGCTCCCACTGGTTAAGAAAAGATGGAGCATCTTCATAACCTGCCAGCAAAAGATGGCACATCTTTCTGGCACAGGAGTTTCCACTAAAAGGACCTGCTGGTATTCCTGCTGAGGCAAAGGCTATATTTTGCGTTGCGCCGTGATTTATAGTAGGATATGTACTGCATGCAGAGAAAAATACAGACTCCTATTTATAGCTTTCACTGCTTAAGAAAAGATGGAACATCTTCATAACCTGTTTTTTAAGTTTAGATATAATGAGAACCATATTGGTGTCCTAGTAATAATTTTATGCCTCAATAATCCCTAAACGTTAGATCAAAAAGTGCTGTGTGAAATATGATAGTGTGATGGCCTCGTACGTGTTGTTGGCACAATGTATGCCTGTGAAAATTATGTTGTATTTGATGAAACTGAGGATAAAAGATAAAAAAACGACTTGTATTTGTATAAATGTGAACCTAAGAAATATAAGTAGCCTACAGGTGTAGATTTATGAAACACAAAACTGGAGATGCATGCATGTGTAAAATTGTAAAGGTAAAATATATCCTGTGGTGTAAAATATATATTTGATCAGACCCAAAGCTAGAGTATGATCGCGCTGTACTAAACAGCTTGTACTGGAGGCATGTAAAATATATAGAGCGAGAGAAAGAGATAGTCATGTTTGTAAAATTCAATATCCCTGTACGCGGCGTTTCGTCCTTCATGGTCTCATGGACTCGTCAGCATGTAGTTGAGGTTGGCACATGTGTAAGAAGGATAGAATACAGAAACCGATTTGGATTACAGAGTCAATAAGCATAAAAATAGCAATATATGTGTATGACTATTGTAAAATAAATGTAAATTAGTAAAAAGTGTCTTACCAAATTCGCTGATATTTTTGTCAACCAACACGTTGGGCCATGGCCATGGCTTATAGCCTTTATATAGAGCGTCTTTCGTTACGACAGATAAAGGCATACCAGTAGGCATACCAGTTTTTTAGAGTATGAAGCTTGTCTGAGTAAACGCGTTTGTACGCCATGATTGCTTGACATGCTGTTCGCTTCAGATGATTTGGCGCAATTGAATTTGGCGCCCAAAATTTTGTAAACTTATATTCTGAAGTTCTAATATGCAGTAATTGGTGATGACAACTTGACAAGTCGCTTCATAAACTAGATTAGTTAATATTTTTCAATGATTAAACTACATCTCATTACTTGGCATTAAATTACATGCAAAGGAAAATAATCCAGGCTATTAATTGGAAACAAATGTCAACACCTTTCACACTTTTCCTATTAATGCTGGGTTAAGCAACACCTAAAAGTTAATCCTGTTTAAACCCGTGCGGCTCGTCATGATCAAGCTGTAGATCACGATGGCGTGACGAATGACGATGCTAGGAAGGAGCGACACTGCCGAACAGTGTTGTTTTCAAATTATAAACATTTTTTATAGACGTGAATATCGAATAAATCTTTGAGAATTTACGCAATATATAAATTGATGTTATATGACTTATGCATTACGGGCATTCAATTAAGTACCGATATTATTTTGACGGTATATTCAATTTCAATATACAAAGCTAGGAAGCAGCGAGACAGTGTTGTTTTGTATTTTGAAATGTATGAACATTTCAGGCATGAATATTGAGAAAATCTTTGAGATTCTACGCAATATATAAATTGATTTTTTGCATTACGGGCATTCTATTAAGTGCCGACGGTATATTCATTATACAGAGCTAGGAAGCAGCGAGACCGTATTTTCAAATGTATAAACATTTCAGACATAAATATTGAGAAAATCTTTGTTTACGTGTATATCACAACGGTGCAAACTCGTGTTCAGTGCAACGAAAACTCTACCAGATCTTACGAGAATCTATCTGTATCAAAGCTTGTCAAAACTGCTATATAAACACTGCAATAACTGTGAAACTATTGAAATCTAAAGTTACATTATTGAATACATGCGAAAAGCTGAAAATGACTCATGAAACAACGTGACCTTCGAAATATATCAAAGGTCAATGAGACTTGTTATTATTGTGAACACGTCATAATTAGATTAAAATGCGGAAAGCGGATGCGGATTCACGGAACGGATATGGGGATAAAATGCGGATGAAATGCGTCGTTTTAATGAGTTTTTCGCCTCTTATTTACGTTTCTGTGTTTTAGATTTATGTTCCTTTTTTGTAATGGAATACAACGTCGTAGTGCTTATTATTTATAACATATCTTATACAGCTATTTTCTCAAGTTGTCACTGAGACAAAAGCCAAAGTGTACAATATGGGCGCTAAAAGGATGGTGGGAATAATCACAGATTTAAGCAAGTCACCTAGGTTGCCGGCGACCCTATATAGTGTCGTTTTCAATTGGAAACTTTACAACATTATAACAGAAATTATGCCTTGTGACTAATATTATATGAGGAAATAAATAATATTACATAACTCTCGTCATTCTTTAATCTTAAAGTATTAGATTTAAACCATATCTTAGCCTTTTTACTGTTGTAACAGTCACGCGCGCTACTACTGTACGTCATATCGACATGTGATTAAAGCTATAAACCACGCTTGAAAAACTATTCAATTAATAAGTATGTCAATATAGCGTTCGTCTTTGAAACTCTGCACTATCCTTGGATCCCTAGTTTTATACTGAAGTTCCAGATGATTTAACATGTACACAACTTAATTACTAATGAGAAACTTGATACTGCAGTGCTTTTCAAACAAGTAAAAATTAAGCAAGGCAACTTTCAAGACAGACGGAAAAACGCCACACAGCAGACTACGACAGCCCAGCACTTGCTTTTGTTAAACATGTAAATGTTGAAGACCTAAGAAAACGTGAGGGTGATTTAAAAACCGTTGGCACTTGTGATTGTTTGCAGGGCCTTTTAGTATCCAATAATTGTGAATCATTCCAATATTAAGAATTTGTTGTGGAATTGTCTTACATTTCGGTACAGTAATGAAACGAAGAGAGAATGTTTTTCTCACATCATTTCTTAGCAAAATCCTTTTGCCAGCAAGTAATGTTACAATGCCCCCAGAAGTATGTCAAGTGGGGCAACAGTAATGAGCAGATTGCCATTGAAAACATTTGGAACAAAAGAATTTTGATGAACTATGACTGCATGTATTCAGTGTGGGTTAATTGATAACACATGCAGAAGCTCCATGGCTTGGTGCTTCTGAAATGCCAAATCGGTGAGCATGCAATGTCAACCCCCATAAGACCACAACGTAGGCAACATTGACCTTTTTCGCCCCAGCTTTTTTTATTCTGCCGAGTATCAGTCTACATTGTTACTCGAGTTAAGAAATCACATGCTGGTTGCAGAAGGTCAAAGAAAACTTTTGAAAACCTGTATAGAATTTTAAATTTGTGCTGCTGGCAAGTGCATGTTCTATTCGCAGTACACACTGCTCGTATTTAGATGATAACTCATATTTTTTTCAGTTGTAAAGCTGCATTTAATTTTTCATTGGTTGACTCTTGTGCATGCATCAATGCCAGTCAATTATAAAACATTGTTTACAGTTTGTCTATACATGATATTTTAACGACAGTTGGCAATGCACCAAAAGATTTCTTTCCACCGGGAAAGTGTAAGGAACACACTTTGTGGCTTTTTAAGGTTCACTTTGTATTCTTAATAAATTCAGCCATATTTCTTTTAAGCTCTTTTAATTCAACTTTCTTTTCAGTAATTTTTAACACTGTCGCTTCGACAAAGTGGCACACAACAGGTCGTTCCCCTGTACATTTTACTTTAGGCACTTTTTCCGTGTCATGAGCATTTGCCATATTTACCCTAACAAACGGCAAACCAAACGGCTCGAAACTTTTCAAAATATACTTGAAACAAGCGAGCGGGGGTTGCTTTAAATTTGACTCGCGTAAATATGTTGCAGTTAAAAACTCCAATAAGACACTTGAACAGTAGTGAATAGTACTTAAAAGTATTTTTAAATCTTTGAAAACCTTTGAAATGTGAAAGCTCAGTATTTCAAACAGCATTTTTTTCAAGAAAGGATTGCCTCACAAATAAAACAGAATGACGAGAATAATCCTGACTATATTTCACACCGTCGAACATCAGGCTTAAATTAGCTATAATCTATTTTAATTAGTTTCGTGTTTTCTAATAATAACCGCACTCTTTGTCCATTGCGTGCAAAAAATTAAAGTGATACCTCTTAATCATATTAACAAAATATTTCAGATTTTCGACATTACTTTCTATTTTGCGCTGCTCATCGTCGGTAATGCAACTCGTATCGCTTTGGAGTTAATCAAAATAATTGCTATAGAGGTCAAATTAATAATATTTGAACATATTTGTTCAAAATTAATAATTTCAACTTTAGAAAATGGGTCCAATACAAAATGGGTCCCTCTCCCTCCCATCCTCCTTCCCCTCCCCATTCAATGTTATTTACCCAATCCAGATACTATAGCAGACCAAAGTAAGATGATAACTGATACCAAACATTGAATAGGGGTCGGGAGGATTGACGTTTGTCCAGATAGTAGATAGTTGGGTTGTTGGGGCATCTGCCCCACCACATTTGAAAATGATTGTAAATAGATAGGGAAGGCCGTGTTGATACAAAGTCAAATGAATGCAGTAAGCATGATCCGATCAATATACTGTTGTTTCTTAATTGTGAAAGGGGAGGGGTGGCGGACTAAATAGATGGAGGGAGGGGAGGCTCGCTAAAAAGATTCTTCCTCAAAAAGGTTCGCTCGAGGCGTTAAAGTGACAAGCAGGGCTCGCAGGTTATTCGTTCCTGATTTTTTAACCGATTCTATTAACTTACTAGTACACTGTACTTTGCTTAGAGTAAGCATAACAGATAAGAGGCCAGGATCTGTCGAGAGAGAAGACTTAATAGAAGATTTACGGTTTTACTTTTTATTTCAACTATTTTGCGCAAATAAGATATCACGATGAACCGCAATAAGCCAATTCAGAGTTTCCTTTTCCACTGCGCAACCAAATGACGCATTCTGCGTGGGGGCTACATGTAGTGGAACGGACGTAGTTGGGAGTGAAAGCATTAAAATGTTTAAAATGTGCATGTGAAACTACTCAGCTGTTCATTCATTTGTTTCACTTTAATTAAGCACGAAATATAACTGTCCATTAAATCATTTTTGTACTAGGCGGAATAGCAAAGTTTGTTTCCTGTGAGAAAGCTAAATAAAGAAAGGTACACTTAAGCCAGAGTATATTTTCTATAATTTCAGGGCCGTAGCAACCAGGGGGACTGGAGGCTGCAGCCCTCCCCCCACCCAATAATTTTTTAATAATCATTCTTTTTCCAAAATCATGCAGACCTTTATCAATTTTAAGCTTTATTAGTTTTAAGCGGCTACATTATCCATATCAAACTGAAAATAATGAAGATATTACCCACACTTTCCTGCAACTTATCCCGTATATAATTAATTAAATACACTTCTTCGCCCATTTAGTACTACCAAATGGTAAATTTTGACAAACTAAAACGCTATTTTCTGACAATCAGAATTCTGTCATATCTTCCCGAAAGTCCAGGAAATGGCATTTCAGAGACTCTAAATTTAAAATTTTCCTCGGGCCTTCGGCCCTCGCTTCCTTACGGTTATCGTTACGGTTTCACATTTTTTCATACCGACATCATGTGAACGCAATCCCAAAACGTAAGAATTTCGTACCGTTTTCAAACTCTGCCGGTATCGTGTGAACCGTCTAAATGGCGGCTATGGGCCCACGTGAGTCATTACGGCTAATTAAAGTGCACCTAACCTCGATTCTTTCTGTCATTTCATCTGTAAGAACTTCTGAAATGATATAATAACTTATATTTTGAAGATTTTCGTTTGCTCACTTTGTCAGTTCTGAGATATTTTAGTACGTCACAAATGCATAATGACTTAAAGTGAAAGCTTGTATATCGTTCACTATCGAGTTTAATTCATTAAAATGAAATTTGGAGTTGTGGGAGGATTACATACCTACGTAAAACACCATTTAGCATTTTTATTTCATGATATTTAACTGTACCTTTCTTTTATCATTCTTTGATCAGTCATTATTCATATGTGACGTAAATTCCGGATATTTGCATATCAATAAAACTGAAATAACTTCAAAATAAGTTACAATATCATTTCAAAGGTTCTTAGGAATGAGATGTTAGAAGAAGTGAGGTTATTGTGCACTTTACCTTTGTACTTAATCTGTCAAAGGCAAATTATACACACTTCAGTATAGGGATTGATATTTTTATTGATGTAGTCCGATCCTATTATGGATATGATGTGTTAAAATAAATTACTAGGCTCAAACGAATAAAGTTCGAGTTCTTTTAACGAAAGTTTGTGTTCTTTAACCCCGGTTAATTAAAATAACTCATGCAAATGTTCTCGAGAAGATCTTGCAGTTCAAGAATATTATTATACTGATGCTTGACAACCTTTCTCTACGGCCATATGTCTCACTAAAAAACATAATGTAGTTTTGCTGAATCGTGCACTGTGACTTATTTCAATACATCAAAATCATTCCGCCTCGCATGCATCTCAGCAGGTACCGCGTGTGTCACCTGTCGGAGTTCCAAAACTAATGTTGCAGTTTTCAGAAACGTTTTCATGCATGTTGACTTCAGAATACGTTATTAATATTTTCTACTTGCTTCATTCCGCCGTCACAAGTTGTGTCACTTAAGTTATTATTGTCATTCGCTTTTAAAAAATGATATGTCGCCATATCAACGAAATGTTAACCGTAGGAATTTACTCTATTGGAGACTTAGTCTTAGATCAGTATAAATTGTAGTTTCATGCACTGACTCGCAACGAAAAATTTAATAGCCATAGCCAGGGTCAGGGATATTATATATTTTATTATTTATATCCAATAACTATACATATATATTTTGTACATCTATATATACATACTCATCGTATAAATTATACCGCATTTATACAGGCTTGCAGCATAATGTTCAGTTCCTAGAGCACCATAACTACTCATAATAATTATGATATTCATGGGGAAAATCCAACACTGCGTTGTCAACATTAAGTTGATTCAAGCTGGATTTGAAATCGCATATTGAGCTTACCAAGTTGATCTATGGGAGAGCAAGAGTTCAAATCCATAATCAGTCAACTTAAACATTATCCTTTCGATCCATTTCAAATGTTGAGAGTCAACTTTGTGTTGGGTTTTTCTCGTGACTCATTACTATTAATATTTTATTATTATATCATGTTTCCTTGTATGACGATCTTTAATCTTTAAACTGATAACTCCTAAATCAGCTTACACTAATCACTATACTAGGAGAATGGCTCTGAAATATAGAGTTGAAAGTTCGAATTCCGCTTGAGTAAATTTTATGTCCACAACGCAGAGTTGCAGGGTTTTTCTCACAAATGGTCAAAACTCACAAGTCTGGTCTGTATCTAATTAAATTTTATATGGCGCATGCATGTTCTACGTTTTTAGTCCAAAGTCAGGCGCACACTAGTGGAAGTTGCACGCACACTTGTCATTCGTGACCAATTACGTGCGACAAAAACTCCTAGTGTGCGGGGAAAATATTCAGGATTTTTGTCACTCGTGTCGTGAACAACAAATATCAAATATGTTTGATATTTTCCGTCATTCGTGACAAAAATTCCTAGTGTGCGGCAAACAGCTCATCGCAACTTTTCGCAGCAAAGAAGTGCGCATGCGTGATATCCCCAACTGAACAACATGGCGGATTGATGGTTTGTCAGACGACGAACATATCTTGTTACTTCCTTTGCTTATACGGTGATGTCGAAAACGTCTGTGGGCGAATTATGGACGTTAATATGTTATGTACGATGTTATGGACGAAACGATGGATTTTGAGAAGAAATAAAGAGTCTATAATAATCTTGCGGACTAATTCGGGCCAGATATCTACCAATTTATTCTCCAAAATTGCTTCGTTGATCAGTTCACTAGTATGTTCACTATCCGCCATGGTGTTTGGGGGAATATCACGCATGCGCACTTCTTTGCTGTGAAAAGTTGCGATGAGCTGTCTGCCGCACACTAGGAATTTTTGTGACGACAGAAAATGTCAAACATATGTGATATTTAACAAATATAAAACATTTTCCGTGTTGATATACAGTCATATCAACACGAGTGGAAATTGGGAAAACGAGAAATTGTTTGGAAACACGACGTCCGAAGGGCGGAGTGTTTTCACACAATAGCGAGTTTAAGATACCCCGGTTTCGGTGTACGGGTACGGGTAGCATGATTTTGGTTAGCAATATTTTCGTCGATGTCTGTACCTTACTCGTAATAAAGGTGCACATTTTTCACATTATATCATTGTCTATTGGAAGAAAACAGAAAAAGTATGATCGAATTACAGACATCAGTAAAAAACTAGTAAACACGATGACACTATCGGCCATACCCGTACACCGAAACCGGGGTATCTTAAACTCACTAATTTCGAGTTTTCACACAATTTCGAGTTTTCCCAAATTCCACGAGTGTTGATATTACTATATAATATATATCAATACGGAAAAAATGGTTTATATTTGTTTTAAAATATAGCACAAAGAAACTATAAAGAAAGAAATTTTCCGACGTTTCCGTGTTGACATTGAGTTATATTAACACGGCTCTTAGCCAATCAGCGTTCAGAATTTACAAATGCTATATTATAATTGTTGTTCACGACACGAGTGACAAAAATTAAATCCTGAATGTTTTCCCCGCACACTAGGATTTTTGTCGCACTTAATTGGTCACGAATGACAATTCACCGTGCAACTTGCACTACTGTACATGTGCGCCGGGCTTAAAAAATTACAACACTCTTTGTAATAATATATACTTTAATTATACTAGAGCGCGCTGCCTTCCTTTGTTGTTAACATTGAACTCAATTTAGTTTTATTTACTTCAGCTGGAACGATAACACTCAGTCATATGGCAGTAAAAAAAGTAAATCCTCGCATCAGCAACGCGTAAGCAGTGCCGTCAGCATAGAGATGATAAATAACACTAGAGGGGGCATCGAGGGTGAAATTTGGGAACGAGGTAATGGGGGGCAAATTGAAATCCAGGTTGAACACCACACAATTCTTTGGTTACATTTGAAACCTCAAAAATTTAATACAAGAGTCACAAAACTGGGTGTTCTATATGTTTTGCATGTCATTACTACAAACATTCCCCCAAAATTCTGAATTCAAACGTTTAATTCCTCTTGCAAACATCAAAATTGCTGACATCAGCATTATTTTGGAACGCTCTCAAAAATGCGTTACAGACAAATATGAGGTAAAAATGCTTGGTAAAAATCAAAACGCGACTACTTAACTGACATAAACAAGAATTTAGAGATTTTGGATCAAACTCGCTCTTATTTTAGCATTTTAATTTTTTGCCTCCCCCCCCCCCCCCCCCCCAACAGCCGCGTTCCCTTTCTTTGACTGAATTAAGATTACGATGCCCCCTCTAGTGTTATTTATGATCTCTATGGTCGTCAGCCCTCCACGTCATTTTGTTAGTCAATTTCAGTCCCTAGCTTATACGCCATCACCGCGTGGTTGGACGTCAGTTTCAGTTCCCCAAGATTTTTTCACTGCGCGGTCAGTATATGTAAGTCGATTAAAGGTACGTTTACACGCTGCGATTTGTCGGGCCGATTTTGCTCGCTGTATGTAAACAACCTGTCGTGAGTACTCGCGTCAGCACATTGCGATTCACAAAATCGGGAGAAAAATCTGTAACAAAACCACAGATTTTCTCACGATTCAACGATTTTTCTTCCGTTGTAAAGTTGTTGAAAACTTTTCGCACGCAGAAAACTATAATATGAACAGACGAGAGAGCGGACAGCTTCAATTGAACGTTTAAATCGCTAAATGTCGAAGAAGGGACATCGATTTTTTTTCAAAATCGGCCCGACAAATCGCAGCGTGTAAACGTAGCTTAAAGCAACTTTTTAGTTTATTCGTTCAAGTTTCTTAGTTTATAGTTTTCAACTTGTAAAAGTAGTTTGCGAAAAAGTTTGATAGTCATAAAATACGCGACAGGATAAGTTATCGTACAGTTTTCAGTTTGGCTAACTTTATTTTATAATATGTGAAAAACTTTCCTAATTGATATAGTTCGACTCGATCGAGTAATTTAATGACCTGACCGGTGATGACGTTATCAATCGCTGTAGTTTGCGTAAGGAGTGGCATCAGGTGGCACGAAGTGGCGTTCGCATTTGTTTTATGCTTCACTTTTTCTCTGCAGGTCAATTATCGTTCCAGACAAAATACATGGAGTTCACTTGTTGTAAACCTTGGCTATTGCATAACCTCTTTAAATTAACTGTTTTCGAGTTTCTTTGGCCATCTAACTTGATTGACACATTTCTTAAAATTGGGGTGTTCTCGTTGTCTCCATTTGCAACTGCGTGAGATACGGTTATACCTGCACACTTGCCATCTGTCCACACATTGCGACACTCCGAAACCATCATTTGAGACCCACCTACACTCTGTAGGTAATTGTGACTTTTTGCACCATTCACGTGTGGGACACGTGCGAATGCTGCACTCGCATCCTTTGGCGTAGTGCTTTTTCAGTCCGTTTAGTTGAGCGTGAGTTATGTGTTTCCATGTTGAACGCCAATTACACAAACCGTGATGAAGCACGCCCTGATGTATTTGTCCCATAACAACATATATTCGTGTTTTTGTTAAACTTAAACTACAAGACGATATTCGCGAAGGGACGTACAATCTTGAAATGTACCTCACTTTGTTACTATGACGCCGTAAGGGTTTGAGATGAGTCAGGCCTGAAATATTTCCTTTGTAAATTTTAATGATTCGAATTGGATAGTATATCTTCTCGAAACGAAGAATCCCTGGAGTATACGGCGTTTCGTCCGAACGGTCGACTTTTAATGACCCAACAACTTTTATTCGTAACACTACAAATCAGAACATGTTGAAGTAAGCTGTAAGCTCCACTTGGGAAATATATAATATTATTCTTTATCATATAGTAGATGGTGAGATACCGAAAAAGGCACAGTAAGATACTTTTCATATCTTCGCTAGTGAAGATATAGGTTACGTGATCATTTCCCGCCAATGGACCTTTCACCTTTTGACTAAAATTTAGATTTCAACAAGTCTAGACAAAAAATTATTACAGCTTGAAAGAGCATCACAAAATTAGTAATATTCCGAAGTTTCGTTGCGAAATGTTGTAAAATGCGGATAATATAGCCTTGCGAAGTTTGCCATTTTCAGTCATTTTGTATTACGCGCGGGAAATACATACCTCCTTCAGAAAAAGGGTATGTATTTCCCGTTTGTAATACAAAATGACTGAAAATGGCAAACTTCGCAAGGCTATATTATCCGCATTTTACAACATTTCGCAATGAAACTTTGGAATATTACTAATTTTGTGATGCTCTTTCAAGCTGTGATAAAATTTTTGTCTAGACTTGTTGAAATCTAAATTTTAGTCAAAAGGTGAAAGGTCCATTGCAATTTACTATACTCAAATTTCTGGGTCAAAGATACCCTGCAACAATAACATTTCCAATTATTTCACTCCTTGAAAATCACATTCAGTTATAGTATTTATTTGGATAATTGGACATTAGGATTGACATTATTTGAACAATACGTATATAAAGACGCATTTTTTGTTTCCAACCTTGGAAGTCCTTTTTCACTTCCAAACAACTGGAGATTTTAATAAAAACCAAAAAACAAGACAGTCAGAAGCAGAAAGCGTCTCCCACCTTATCTTATTAATAATATTATACTGTACTGTACTGTACTTCACAAATTATATGAACGGCATAAGTATATGTAGTGAAATCTCAGCCAATTTATCTGTTATTTATCCAGAACTTTGTTTCAGTACAAGACAATTGTCATGATGAATTCATACAGATAAATATACATTAAATTAACTGCAATTTGTAGTGCGCAAAGGATTTCTCCTTTGCACACTTTTGCGCGTAAGGTATTTTCATCTCAAATCTTAGCATTTATTTATCTCAAATCTCTTTTCTGTCTGAAAATTCTGTTAAAATCTCAGATAAAAAATACTGGCATTTCACAATTGAAGATCTCCCAACCAAAAAATAGGAAAGACATAATAAAAACTCCACTCCTTAATAGCTTGGCGCCATAATGAATTTGGCGGCCGCGTCGGTAACGCGCGGAGGCCTGGACGCCAATGAGGGTTAGCACTTGTTTCCATCTACCAAACTGACGTGACGTCACTTTCGGAAGATGGAAGGGGTGTTAAATGGCTATGTAACTAACCCAAACCTACCCCTATTCTAACCCCTACAGTAACCCTAATCGCAGCCCTAACTCTAACCCTAACCCCTAACCCTAACCAAATTAATAAAAAAATCCCGAATAGAAATTGATGGAAACAAGTGAAAACCATCAATGAGGTGCCCGACTGTCTACGAAATTGCGGCGCCGAAAACAATAATGTGTATATTTATCGTGTTAAAAGCAGTTCGTTTCTGATTAAACTTCGTAGGCGCCATATCTCTCCTTTACATGTTACTAGAGATTTTGGCATAGAAATTTGCTTTGAGGCGTTTTATTAAGAATTTTAGTTTAATCACGTGAACGGCTGCAATGTCGTCGTTTTGGCAGTTAGTTGAAATTAAACGTTTCCAAGATCTCGCTATTGGAATTTCGTTATTGTATTCTTACTATTCTACCTCTTAGTTCTTACATGACGCTGTCGTCCCAGTGTTAAAATAGTGTTCTCAGTATTTCTATGCAATGTTCCCTGTCAGAATTTACCCTAACAGGGCCTCAATAAAGCCATTATTAGGTTACACAAAATAATCCGATTTGAATAAAAAATGTTGTATATATAAATTAAAGGTCACAAATTAGTTTAACTTAGCCTTAGGATTATACTTTAGGAAAACGTATATGGAACGTCATGCTTGTTCTATTGTTCTAAGGGCCGGGATGATAATAATTATTCTTAAAGAGGTGACGATGCTCGAGAGAGGTATACCAATTTAATGGGGTTCGGCCTGATCAATTCCTAATCACGCAATATATAAAAAAATTACAACTAACAGCAATTAAGTGGTTTGACTAATATACACTCACTGGCTCACAGATGACATAAACATGCACGTACGTTGTAAGATGCATGTGCCAGCGATTTTCAAACACGCACTTTGTAAGATGCATGCCAGCGATTTTCTTGTAGTATAGGAGTCAATCGATATTGAACAAAATTCATAGATTCCCATGCACGTAAATCTGGCAAACGTGTTTGTCTCGTGGAAATGAGAAATGCATGCAGTATGTAATAGCACACGAACTGAAAGTTCACGTAACATTGCATTTCTATACTGTATAAGTGTCGATATTTATTTATCGTGGGTATAAATAGTTGATCAGGAGTCTTATAGTTATAGTTTATAGATTCAAGATCCATTGACTCCTATTATAAAACTGTTATGCACGTAAATCTGGCTATTGCCTATTGGTTAATCTTATGGAGATGGGAAATGATAATCAGAGTAGCCTACTAATTGAAATAACGTAACATTGCAATTTTACTATTGACATTACCTCAGTGTCGGTGAATATATATTGCAAGGATATTCACTTCAATGCTTCGCGCTTCGATGAATATCCTTGCACTGTTATTCAGTGACACCTCCACTTCGGTGAATAATTGTTAATTATTTTCTAGCTGTCATTGTGGCATGACCTCTTGATTTAATAATTAATATCCGTATATATCAATCGCATCTGTGCTTCATGACGTTTAATGGGACATGAATTTTCAACCACTTTTTGAACCCTCGCGATCAACCGAATGCCCGAATGTTCTCGAAAAAACCAAAGACTTAATACGTACGGTTATCTGGACTATTTTGAAAATTTAGGGACTGCGTGGAATTTACTTCTTATAGCCTACGAAATTTATATTTTTGGTCAAATGCCACGAAATTGTAAATCAGTATAGTCTGAGCAAAAAATTAAGGCACTACCCAAATTCAATGAAAATCTATTCCCTTAACCAATTTTATCATTTTATATTTAGCTAATAATGATTAAGACTTCGAAAGTTTATTTTACAGCATTATATCGACGTACTATAAAATATGTGCGTTTCGAGGTTTTTCATGTATTTCACGACTATTTGAAAAATTATTTGAATTCGCTCTTGCAAAGGTTGTTGCAACAGATGCTGTAAGAAGTTTAAATTTCAAATGGTTCCTCTCGTTTGACTAAATTGATCCCGCAATGCATGCCCACTCTATTATTTTATAATCTCCGTATAAGGTTGGTATGACGATGAGCTAGAGAGAATCAGAGAATGAGGAACAATTAAGTACTATAAGCTATAATTCAATACTTACTGCAGATACTTAAATTAATTAAACTCATCTCATTATAAAATTGTTCTTTGTATAATTATGCATGCGTGGTACCAGATCTATTATAACGTCACGTTTGCCGGAATATAAACTATATAGTTCTTCACTATAATCAAATATATATATATATATATATATATATATATATATATATATATATATATATATATATATATATATATATATATATATATATATATATTCCGGCTCGAAATTTGACTATATAAATAAATGTAGAGTATTAAAATAATTCCTATTCTAGATAATCTTACATTAATCTAAGATCTATTTTCAGGTTTTCCTCTTTTGTATGCATTATTGCATGATGTTTTGATAAGTGCTCCGGGATTAAGGATGTCGTGATATCAGTGAAAAGCCTATATGTGTGTTGGTAACGCCATGACACCTGACACCCCAATTACGACTTTTAAGGCCCTTTTAAGTTAGTATAAATCGGCTCATCGTTTTTTTTTATTTCAATTTCCATTTTTGGTATTACTTTCATAGTAATATCATGGTAACTAAAATCCACTTTATAAAGTTTGTATATCAGCCAAAACTGTATACAAACATCTCTTTTATTAAATTCCATATAATCTATATATAAACTTCTTGATTCAGTTGGAACGATCATACAAGTGGATGGATTTATCCTTCGATGCTGTTGTTAAAAAAATTTCCTCCTCCGTCTCTCTAATATATATAGCGGGGACAACGTAGGCCTATACTAATTAATTTATATCAGAATATCGTGTATATGTAGTCCTGGATGAAATGCCACTATACTTTAATTATTTTGTTATATATAGTTACATAATCTGGTGCAGATCCCTCAAATTTACATCCCTGCATGCGTCATCAGTGACATATAGTCATAGACATATGCACTGCATCCTCTCACCTATACTCTCAGTTTCTGCTGTTGCCTTAGCATAACGGGGTTGCATGAAACGGCACTATTAATAGAATATTTATAGTCATCTGCAAAATTTTATATCATTTATATTTATTTGTCAAGATTTTGATATCAGCAGACACGATAAAATAGTGATCGGGTCAACTATCATGGTCAATAATAATACAATAAATGAACAGATGCCTAAACAATGTCAACTATGGGTCTGGGTGTTTCTCGATATATCGCGTAAGCATGCATTCTTTCAGACGTCATTGTTATATTAAATCTCGTCAGCAAAAGAAACATGATCTTGCTGTACGTATTATATATGTTTGTAGACAAAAGTCCGACACTGCACGTATATTTGCTTTGGTTGCAAATATGCCATATGTGGAAAAAAACACTTAATATAGAGTCAATTATATGGCAGAGGACCTATTATACTCTTATTCGACAGATCATAAAACATTTTTAGCATACATGCAATACAAAACGTACGGGAAAAGTTTATTATGCATGGATCGGTAAAATAACATCGAAATTCTTAAAGATTGAAACACAATACCTATAAATATCCACATTTTACTTCCGTAGTTCATAAAGTATATTATAAAATAACATAGATAATTATTATTCTTTGTCAATATACAATATTAGGTATACTACGTACAGTAATGCTAAAATTGTGACAGTAATGCTAAATCTTGAGTAGGCCTTGATGCATGCGTAAGCTAGGGCTAGAGCTATATTTGAGCCGTCGAACTTCTGTCAAATTTTAATCGTTGAATTTAATACTGCCAAAATTTAGTGATGGAATTTCAAGTCAATTTCTATCACTAATTATGGGACAAAACCCGTCAAAAATAATTCGACTAACGTCGCACATGCATAATGTGCTTCCTTGAATAAAACGTCATTTCTTTCGAATAAAAAAATCAGACGCATCAATTTCAACGAATTAAATTCGACATTACAAGGGAAATTCGATGTCTTATAGAACAGGCCAGCCAACTGATCAGTAATGAAATGAGGCGCGTGCTTATTAGAAGTAGTGGAATGACCGCGGATCATACCTAACCCAATTTTAAAATAAACACTGACTAAGAGCTATAGTATTCATACAGGAAATGCGCCATCATTGTGAAGGACATTTCCGTGATTTACAGGTTTATTAGAAGAACGTCAGTATAATTGGTTAAAAAAGATACACGACTACACCATCTACACCAACATACCCATGCATGGTTCTCGCATCGGTTCTCAACAGTGATACAGTAAATTTTGCATTCCTTTTTACTTCCAGGTATTATAAACGTATAATTGAATTAATTTAATGTCGATTTCTGCGAAACGTCCTGGCGATGCGTCTCAGACAGACAACAGCCACATGCAGGCTATATATTATTATATATCAGTTCTAACACATCTTACACATGTATATAGGTATTCGTATTTACAGTGAACAATACTAACAATGGAACATGCAATATTGGGCAAGAATAGTGGACATCATATCTTACTATACTACACTTTTGATATATTCAAACACTATTAATATACAAACAATGACACATCATTTTGTCATCTTAATTATATTTGCGACTCTTCAAATGCGCAGTGGTTCATGTGGAAGTATTAATATAGCTACATAGCTACATTATGTTTCTTGATGATATCATGATAATCCAGCATGCGACTACCTAAATGAATATTGCCAAACTACATGCATGGCTTAATAGTGATATTCATCCGGTTGCAAACCTATCACGAAACTCAGTCAACTTTATGTTCATGACTTCATTCCTATGACGACACGAAAATATTATCGTGGATCGGGGAAAATTATTTATATTTATAGTTACCCTTATTGTGCATAATTGACTATAACGTATACGTATGACTATTACTGTAACAAAGTATCGAGCACATAATCAAGAATGTTAAAGAGTGTTATGATTATAACTTACCATAGTCATCTTGGCAAAAGTGCTCCTGTGGATGAAATCCCTTACATGAACATGCCATCAGAGTGGTCGTAAAACTGGCAATCAAAATAAAACAGAGAATAAGCATCTTTCTTGGTGTGCGTTGAAGTATATGTTTTCTTAATATGATGTCTTGCTATTTGAGTTCGAATGCACTTGCGTTGTTGTAATTCGAATGCGACAATCGGCGTTCGGCCTTTTTATAGATTTCTCAAGGCGTCCACACTTGTAGGGAGGATATCTGTTGACAGAACATCCAAACTGCTTCAAGGGTTGTCAGCTTGCAATTAAGTACTTAATGAGATCCGTTGGCCCATAAATAATCCCAATTACGTTAGGGATAAAGAATGTCTGACCTTCCAAGGTCGAGTGATATGAGGGCACTTTTTTGATTTAGAAACTTCTACGCTTATATACTCCTATTGACCTATAATGGTGATCAATACTTCAAAACACCCCTTCAAAATGAAAATGTCCTTGTAGTGAATGCACCAGAACCTTCTCGACCTGGAAATCACTTAACTTTAAGAATTATGTTTTGAATGGGGTATTCAAATAATTCAATATTTGCAAAGGTTAAATAAACTGATACCAGACAACAATGCCAAAACAATATCAAAACTAAACTTATAATTCTGTCTTCAATTTTAAACCATTTTCTTATTAAACCTTAAAACTGCAGTTAGGTTTTTAGGTTGACGTGATGGAATTTGCCTTCTGGATGGGTTAGATTTACATTGGCACGGCATATTTTGCATTCACTTTTTTAAGACTGTTACTGAATTATTGATATTTTATAAAAGATTATGCTAAAAAGCTCAAAAGTACCATTACAATTTGCAAAACATTACTAATATCATGAGCCACATTAAATCTTCTGCTTGACTGAATTTATTCATCATGTCCATAAGGCAGCCGCCTTTGCATCGTAAACATAATCTGACGTCTTGGATTCCAGTCTGGAGTTTATCTAATGTCAAATACATTTAATGAATTGCCATTTAATTAGACTGTTGGGGAATAAACCTGAAATAGAATGTTAAGTGGCTCGAATCAGGACAAGGCCCAGGTAAATCATGATAGGAACAGATTATGGCTGAAGCGAAATGGAATGATATCGTCAGTTCTAATTAGGTTCACCGAATGTTATTTCTTGATAGTGGGGTTTGTATTATTCCATGCATATTTTGCACATTCCGCGCATGCCTGAAATTATGTACGCCTACGCCCAAACTATACTGTATACATTAACACAACCCACGCATTTCGCGGCATAAATTGCGGAACTAATGAATTTTACATTAGGGAATCTATTACAAATTACATTCACGTTGTGCGTGTGTGAACTACGGTGGATCTTGATTCTAGAATATACCATTAAAAAAATAGTAAAAAATGAACCTTTCACCAACAAGCCGATCGTTGACACTTTGTGTTTGGAGAATAATATCAAACAGGAATTTGAGTAGAGAATATTACACCAGCGGTGATTTCAATTTAATAACTTACAAAAATAATGATGATTTATTGGGCAGTTTTGACAGTGTGTCCACAAAGTGGTTCTTCACCTAAGTATTTTTACTAGCTAATACTAGAATACATTAAAAATGTATATAGTCACAGAATATGAAATTGCTGATCTACGGCTGGTAGGCTACTAAAATTATATGTACAATTACTAGATAAACGTAATGCCTTTTGGTAAATAATATTTCTTGTATATTCACAAAAGGTATATTAAAACGGCCGGATATGATCTAAGTAATGCATTAAAAAGATACGAAGTTTGGTCCTGCAATGTATTGCTGACTAACAGCCTCTCTATAGTTGAATGCTGACTATAGATGTATGCCGGAATCTAGAGTGTTGAGAAATACTTCTCAAATTTCAGCATAGGCGTACGAGACAGGGGAGTAGAGGGGGGGGGGCAAACGTTTTGAAAACCATGGAAATTAGGGGAAATGCTAGGAAAAATCAAGCGGAAAATTCGGGAGATTTATAAAAAAATATGTTAAATTCAGGTTATTTCATTACAATCCTTCCTAACAATTCTGGCAAACTTGCAACTGCCTCCCCGCGGAGAGTATCAGCCCCGTACAGCCCCCTTGTATGCCTTGACTTTAATCCATATTTGTGCTTGTTGCCGCATTTTGCGCAGTTAAATTATGAAAACTAAATATATTATATAAGAACTGACTAAAATAAAACCTATTTCGAGGATTTGGTTGCAACACCTAGATTGCAG